TCAGGCATTGTGGTAGCCAGCCACTAGGAATACAAGTGAATAAGAAACACTCCTGCTTACATAGGATTCAGGGAACATAATAGAGTGTGCTCGTATTTGTTTCCTAGGGCAGCTGTAAAAAAAAGGGTGGCTTAAAATGATAGAAATTATTTTATCATTTATCACAGTTCTGTAGGCTAGAAGTCTGAATGAATTCAGGCTGTCAGCAGGGCCATCCTCTCTGAAAGTTCTAGGAAAGCTGCTTTCTTATCTCTTCCAGCTTCTGGTAACTCTCGGCATCCCTTGGCTTGCAGCTGCAGAATAGCTCCATCTCAGCCTGGCTGTCTTTCCTCTGTGTATGCATCTGTATCTCTTCTCTTTTATTAGGGTACCATCCAGACCCATCCTACTCCAGTATGACCTCATGTTAACGTCACTGATGACATCTCCGAAGACCTTATTTTCTAACAAGGTCACATTGGCAGGTACTAGGTGTTAGGGTTCTGCCATAACTTTTGGGGGACATGATTTAATTTATAACAAAAGGAGACTAGAAATGTTTAAAAATCCATTTTGTGTATGTTAAACTACTATATAGTGCTGGGCTCCATCATTAGCTGTCATCAGTTCTCCCTCAATTTTTCTAAGGTTGTTTGGAATAAACTCTTTAGATTTAAGTGATCATATGACTGATACTTTAAACTTGAATGTAGGATTCTATCTTTAGGGGCCATTTAATCTAGGCCAGAAAGCAGTCAAATTGTCTGAATAAATTATCTGAAATTAAAAGTAATAAACTCAGGTTATACACATAACATTTTGGTTCTTTGGACACAGAGAATCCAGTTCACAGAAGTGGATTAATTATAATGCTCACTTCATCACATTTTCATCATTGCTTCATTGAATGGTTCTCTTCTATTTACCTATTTTTCAACATTTTAAGTGGATATTTAAAATAATATAATAAGCAACTGCAAAATGACCACTCAGAACAATAAATAAATTCTTACCATTTTCTTTTCTCACTCTCCCTTTTAATGACTGCTATCTGATGTAACCATAAACTTAAAAATCAAGTTAATCATTCTCTTTCTTTTTTTACATTGTTATATTTCTATGTGTCCCTTGTTATATATTTTTTGATGATTTGAGTAAAGTTCAGCTTAATACAAATTTTTGATACTTACATTACTGAAGATATGATATTGCTAAGATTCATCATATTGTTGTATGTCTCTAAAGTTTATTCAATTTTAATGCTATGTAATATTACTTTTTGTGCTACATTCTTTTTTTTTTTTTTTTTAATTCACTCCTTTGTCATTGGATTTGGGTTGATTCAAAGTATATCCACTTGATGACAACATTATTGTGGACTTCTAGAAGTCTTCTGTCTACATGCAAGTTTTTCTCAGGTATATATCTAGGAGTGAATTGTGTATTATTATGTTTGGTATCTTATAATAGCAGTAAAACACATAAATATGAAAAAAAGAACAGCTTTAGATTTGGGCATAAATACAAAGAAGACAAGCTCAAAATAAATGTAATTTAATTATTATATCATTTATTTATGATCAAGGATCCCTGACAGTGTAGTGGCTATATGTTGGGCTGCTAACTTCAAAGTCAGCAGTTTGAATCTACCAGCTGCTCCACAGGAGAGAGATGTGGCTTTCTGCTCCTGTAAAGATTTGCAGCCTTGGAAACCCTATGTGATGTTGCTATAAATTGGAACCAAAACAATGTCAAATCACCTCCACCAAACCATATCTGTGAATAAAAGCTCAGAGAAAATGTAGATAATTCCAAGAGAGAAAAGAATAAACTTATATGAAGAACTATTAAAGAAAACCTAGAAAAATTGAGAAATATACAATGTTCATAGATAAGGAAGAAAATAACATAAAGATGTCAATTCACTCCTAAATTGATCTACAGATTTGGTTCAGTTAGAATTAAAATACCAAAAGTGTTTTGGTATAATATAAATTTACAATTTTCGGAGATAATGTCAAAAAGATTGCACTTATTTATTCTTCTAAAAGCAATGCATAAGAAAGTCCGTGATTTAATACTTTCAACTCTATATTGACATACTTTTACATTTTTGTTAATTCAATGGGTATAAAATGGCATTTTCCTATGATCTTGTTTAGCATATTTCTATTCTCTAGTAATGCATACTAGCTCTTGTGTTACTTTGTTATCATAAGAGTTTTTCTTCTGTGAAATGACTGCTCATCTCTTTTATGCCCACTCTATCAAGTTATTTGTGCTTTCTTATTGATTTGTAGGCATTCTTTATTTATTCTTGATACTTATTTGTGTTGCTTTTGTGTGCTGCAAGCATATTCTAGTTTATAATTTATATTCTTACTTTATAAAGATGACTTCTGATGACCAAACTTAAAAATTTTAATAACATTTAATCTACCAATATTTTCTTTTATAATAAATACCTTTTTGCTCTTATTTAAGAGACATATTCCTACTCCAAAGTCTGAAAGACATTTCCATTTAATTTCTAGTAAGAATTTTAAAAACTTAAAAATTTTAAGTTCTTAATACACGTAGGAATGATTTTCAAAATATACATAGTGTGCCAATTTTACATTCTTCCATTAGGAGTGTTGTTCCTGTTAAGTGCCATCAAGTCAGTTCCAATTCCAATTCAAAGTGATCCTGTGTAGGGTTTCTTAGGAGTGACTGGTGAGTTTGAACCATCAAACTTGTGGTTCAAACTGACCTTGTGTTCCAAGGCTTATCCTACAGTTCCACACCATAAACTTGACTGAAAAGTTTCCCATTTCCTGGCTGTCTCATATGCCATGTATCTTATATACCAAGGTTCCAGATAAGGTCTCAATCTAATTTCATTCATCAATTTGTGTGTCTCTGTACCAATATTATGGTGTCTTAATTATTAAATCTTTTAAAAAACTTCTAAAATCAGGTTGTGCAGATTGCTCCTCCCTGTTATTTTTCAGAAACATTCAGGTAATTATCATCATCTTACTCTTCTCTTTAGAATTATAGCTTCAAATTATATATAAAAACTGGTTTGATATTTTGGTTAGAATTGAACTGAATCTGTAGATCAATTTTGGAGAGAATTGAAATCTTTATATCATCTTCCTGTCTATGAACATGGTATATTTTTCAACATTTCTAGGTCTTCTTTAATATTTTGTGACATAGTTTTGTTCTTTTTGCTTTTGGAATTTTCCTGATATTCTGTTAGCTTCTGTTCATATGTGCACAATATTCAAATTGCATTTATTTTCAGCTTTTCTTCTTTACATTTACCCCAAAATAAAAAACTTTTGTTTTATATTAAAATTTTTTTGTACTTAACTGTTTTTTTTTGTAAGACACCAAACATAGTAATATACAGATGGGTTCCTAATTATTTGTTCCTAAGTGAACTCAAAGCAGATTCCTTACCTTTAAGTCAATCAATATTTTGAAATTTAAGTATTTTAGGAGAATGAAGTTAGAGTTCAAAGAATGATTCACAGCATTTCGGTTACGTAGAAACAATAAAAGTTTCAATAACTATTATTTTTCCTCTACAAATGATATTTTCAGTACTGTTATGGGTTTAAAGAGGAAATAGGAACAATAAAGGCTTCTTAATGATTTACTTTTAAGACATACAGATTATTTTGAACATGGGTTAAGAAACATGTGTCAGCTTACAGTTGGATTCTACAAAAATAAATCTTTGCATACTTACTAACATCATTAAATAATACAGATATTTATAATTCAGTGAGTATCAGTTTGTAAATAATATATTTTCCAAACAAAATTACATTTATCTGAAGGTGTTATTTTCACCCACTGAAGGTACCAAATAATTTTTATAGAGTTAAAATTAAGCTTCATGAATATGCACAAACTGAAAATTACCCTCTTACCTGATCAAGAAGGAAGAGCTTGTAATTTACTCATGAGCTGGGAAATTCAATCAACCAAATTAAAAAACAAAACAAAACAAAACTTGATCCCTTCTGAGATTTGGACTAAAATTGCCCATGCAATGAAAATTAAACTCTACTATACAAATTGATTAACAATTGCCCAGCTCTATAGACTTATTTGGTTTCAGAAAAAAAATCATTGAACAAAGTCACAAGAAGAAAAACAAAGGTGAGACAATAACAGAGAATATGACTACTGGGTACAGCATTTCTTGACTTGTCATAATGGTACACAAAGTGGGCTTGTTGGCTAATTTTTTTTCTATTGTTATCAGTAAATCTAAGTTCTAAGAACTTCACAAATCTAGGTGTATACAGATTACATTAGCAATAAAATACTTATCTTTTTCAATCAGTATGCAGAATACAATAGAAAAGGCAGTATAACCTGAAAAAATTTTAAAGAAAATATATACTTGCATATGAGCAATCTGAAGTCTGGGTTATAAAATTGGCCTGTGGCAATACACATACAGTCTTTTAACTGAGTATAAATTTAGCTGCCTTTCCAGTTTTTAGTTAGCTTGTGTTTTTCTCTTTTTCTGGAGAGATAGTTAATGCTGTATCAGTTGAACTGAAAGAATTTTGAGTAAAATGGAACACAAAAAAATTAATAATTGAAATGTTAGAAAGCAATTTCCACAACCACAAATGGACTGTCAGTTCATAAAACTTTATCATTTAAACCAAGAGAAAAATGTTCTCGCTTGTGAAGATTAAATTCATGAATGATGGAATAATCTACATTTACATGTATTTTTACTTTGGTTATAGAAGTTCTAATGTGAATAACATAATCTCATTTAGGAGTATGGCATTGTATGAGTTGTTTTTCAATGTGTCTATCTTCAGTGTTTACTATTGTATTATTCTGAAAGATTAATTTTATTAGAAAAATACAATACATTTTTAAATTAGGAAAAGCTGTAAAGTATATATTTGTCTTGGCTTTGGCTTGGTTTCCTCCTATCTAAAAAAATATTTAAAAGATAGGATAAAAAAAATTATAACCTTTTGTTTTAAATTTAACAGTAAAGAAGAAACATCAGTAACATCAAAAGGGAATAACTTGGAGAATTCAAAAGTTACAGGTAATAATTATTCAATTCTTAAACAAAAGCTGTCTCTTTTCTTAAAACCTGTAATTTAAAAAACTCTCATATGTACAATTATATTAACTTTTCAGATACCTATATCCCGACAATTGTTTGTTCTCCTGAGGACAAGGACGACCTGGAAATCAGTAATCAAAATGTAAAAGATGTAAACAGGGAACAGGATGAACATAATGAAAAAGAATTACATTTGATGGTAAGTGTTCTGGTTGCCAGGGTATTAGAAGAGATGAATCCATTTATGCTTCAAAGATGCTGCAATGCCTGCCTTTCAATAGCTTCAACTAATATAATTTGCAAATGTGAAAGCACAGCCTAAGTCTGTCCTTGCATCTCCAGCTTGATCAACAAGGCACTTTGATTTCAGTATGTTACTTCCGGTCTCTGCAGTGGTAAATTAATGGCATTCATTTCTTATCTCTTTATGAGAGGCTCTGAGTAATAGTTTGTAGGCATTACAGGAGAGGTAGCTCTATCCTGATGTGCATTTCTAATCTTTGTGACAAGTGTACACTTAGCATAAACTCCTTGCCTGTAAAATGAGAGGGCTGGACTAGGTGATTGTTAAGGTCCGATCCTACAGGTCTGTGGTTCTTGCATTAGCAGCGTTTTGTTGTTGTTGTTGTTGTTGTTTTGAAACCTCCTTCCTTCTGAGATTCTCAAAATTTTGTCATTGTATTCAATTACCCACTGAGAAGAAAATAGCCTGTGCCATGATTTTTAAACAGAAAACAAATTCTGTACTGTAGAATTTAGTATTAAATTTGTTATCATAAATTCCACACTTGGTGAACATTCATTCTATTCAGAATTTTGAGGAATGCTTTAGATTGCAATTTTTACCACAAAGGAAGAAATAGCAGTAAATGAGTCACGTAATGTAATTTATCCTTTACTGTATCTGTTGGAGCTGCTATCATTGGGATACAAAACTTTGTAATCATCTAAGATTAAAATGACGTTTGCCTTTTCAAGTGTCAGAACTGAAACAGAAAAGAAATAGAGCTCATCTATTTCCCCACACATTCCATCTTCTTTATAGTAATATGGAATGTGCATCACTAAAGTATGCAATTTACTTTGCTCCAACTTTAAGAAACTACAAAGTTGTCACCCATTGTGAGAATTCTCACCAGCTGAAAGTTAACATCGCCATTTTTTCAAACCACAGAATATAATGAAAGGGCCCTGAAAATCATATACTTCAACAACACTCCTCATTACAATGAGTAGGCTCAAATATAAAAGTTTGTTTAGAAGTTACTGAGATTGTACATCCAATAAATGAACAGGGACCTGTAATTTACATGCTAATTTGCTCCATGCTGACGTTAATGCATAAAACAATGAAGCTCTATAATAGATGGAAATACAACCAAATCTGTGGAACCCACAGGCATTGGCTTACAAGACAGCTGTGCAGTTGACAAGTAACATGAGCCTTATGTGAGAAGAAGGGGAAAACGTAAGATTTGCATATAATTATTGAGATCATGCAAATGTCAGTTATGAGGAGGAAAAAAAAAAAAAAAAAACACACACACACACAGGCATCTCACTGTTAAATCCTGACAGTTGGCATCACTGAAGAGCTCAAATACATTTGAGTACCAGTTGGCAGAGGGTCATTAAAACAGAATTTGCAGAGACATTAACTCCCTCACTTTTCTTTGAGTGACGTTTTGCTATTAATAGTTTGCAGAAGCTTTGCAGAAAACATATTAATAAGAGAAACTGTAATGGGGGCACCTACAGCAAGTGTAAATGCAGCAAGGGGCACCCAGGAAGCTGCTCTCTAATTGATTAGCATGGAGCCATCAATGTGTATATCCTAAGTGAGGAGAAAGTGCAATGACAAGCAAGAATAGTTGAATAATACAATGTGATATTTGGAAGCTGGGAAGGAGAGTGATTAATTTGGGCCCCTTTTCTTATTAGTCTCATTCCTAAGTCATACCCTACAAGGACTCCCCAAAACATCCACCTTCCAGAGTTTGTAGGAAATCTATAATTAAAACGAGTCAAGAAAATCTACCAGAAAATCACTAGCTGACTTAATAAAACCTAAATTATTTATTTTTTGTATTTAAAAAGATCATTTGGTCATTATTTTTTTGCTTTTTTTTTCACTTCTTAAGATAAATGAACACTTAATACGAACTCGAAGCACTCCTTCCAGAGATGAAAAGAATACATTTTCAACAGATCCAGTCAATTTTCCAAATAAAGCAGAGGGGTTAGAGAAGACGCAAATCCACAATGAAATAGGCACTGACTTGTTCAAAAGGCCTTTGTCTCCAAGTTCATCAGCAGAACTCTCTTTAAAGGGAGATTTTCACCACAATGAAAAATATTCCTTAGGAAATTATTGTAGTTATCAACCTTCAGAGGGAATTACTTCAGGTATGGGAGAAATCAAGCCATTTTTGGAAGATGCTAGTAATGATGAATTAGTGCAGTTAGGTATCGACAGCAAAGAACTGGATGATAATGCTAATCCAGCTCAAGAAAAGAACAGAGTACAGGTATTTTTTCCCATCTCAGAGCAACTAATGCCAGGTAGCCTTATGAAAAAACATAAAGGAGAAGCTAAGAAAATGGAAACAAAAGACTGGGAATATTTAAAGAGAGAATGCCATTCAGATGAGTCTGCATACTTGGAAGGATCAATAGGAAAAGGGACTGCCAAGAAAGATTATTGCAGTGTTGAAGATGAGGAACAGGAAAGTATACACTTTAGCCTTCATGAAAAAGGACAAAACAATTTAAAACCCATCTATCATGACCAAGAAAGGAAGATAGGCTACTCTGAAGAAAGTATGGAAGCCATAGGAGCTAATAGCAGAGACCTAACGGCCGAGTCAAGTAAGACCCCAGCTCCCAGCCAGGCACCAAGAGCAGATAGGGCTCATTCACCAAGGACATATTTAAGTTGGGATAAAGTTGTGATAACAACCTCAGAGCATGATTTCACAACCAGTGAAGGCACCACTTTAGGAGGGATGACTGGACAGATTTGTTCACCAAGAAATGGAAATACTTTGAGGAATGATTATCCTTTCCAAGCTGAGGAAGAAACATCGGATTGGATTAATCCTGAAGATCAGAATAAGAATACACAGCATAAATATAATTGGAATGTTCTGGAAAGTCAGGGAAAAGCAAAAGAGAGTAAGGCAAATATAGCAGAGCAGACCAAAGAACAAGCATATTGTGAAGACATGTGGGAAAAAAGAGATAACACAAGGAGTTTGAAAGGTACTCCTGCAGAAGGATTGTTTACCTGCCAAGAAACAGTGAGCCGTGAACTGTCTTCTCTAGCTGATCATGGTATTACCGAGAAAGCAGAAGCAGGTACAGCTTATATAATTAAGACAACATCAGAAAATATTCTAGAAAGCATGTCTGCTAGAGAAAAAGCAATAATTGCTAAGCTACCTCAAGAGACAGCACGAAGTGACAAGCCCATCGAGGAAAAGGAAACAGTGTTTGATCCGCATGAAGGGAGGAATGATGATTCACATTATACCCTTTGTCAACGGGATGCAGTAGGTTTAATCTATGACAATGATTTTGAAAAGGAATCACATTTAGGTATTTGTAATGTACGTGTAGATGAAACGAAGAAGGAAGAAACCATGTCTACATCCAATCCTGGGAAGACACATGACAGGGAGAAAAGTGGCATTGGAAATCTAACATGTGTAGAAGAATCCTTACAGGTCCTTACAGGGAAACATAAAACAGCTTCAAAACGGGATTTACATTTGGAAATGTTGCCAAAAGACAAAAAAATATTTCCAAAAAATAGAGATTATGGGCATGTCCCAGAATTATCAATGAAAACAGACTTCAATGTCTTTCCTCCATCTGCTTTTAACTCAGACACTAACAGGGCTTCTCAGATTGGTTCTCATTTGTCCAATCACCATACTAAAACTTCAGTGTCATTTTTTGAACAAGCAACTGCCAACGAGGGTATAAAAATTTCTACCATGACTACCATTTCTACTAAATCAGAGTATAAATGTAATCCAGCGCATGAAATCCAGGATACTGAGAAACACCCTCATCCTGGGTCTATACCTGAAGAAGTTTCCACAAATTTGGGAATAGTGGCATCCAGTAGTAGTAGAGAAAGATGTATAGACCAGATTTCTCAACAAGAAGAACACAATGTGGAAAACTCTCTAGGGCCAATGATTTTAGTCAGTGAACCCTTTGAGAACAAGGAAGAGGCAAGATATGGAAATGAAGGTTTACTAAACTCTGGACAATTGTTATGCTCTTCAGCTGACAAGGAATGTGAAAACTCTGCCTCAACTACTTCTCTGGCCCAAGAAAGGAAAGTTCAAGGCAGTCATTCTCTGCTTTCCAAATATACCAACTCAAAAATACCTTATTTCCTTTTGTTTCTGGTATTTCTTGTTACCATCTACCACTATGACTTAATGATTGGCTTAGCATTCTACCTTTTTTCACTGTACTGGCTATCCTGGAAAGCAGAAAGACAAAAGGAATCTGTCAAAAAGAAGTAACCTCAGCGATATTACTGTACTCTCTTAAAACATAAGCTATTTAGTTCCAAACATTTGGATTGGTGAAAGAGAGTATTCATTGTGCAAGGAACCTGTGCAGTTTTTCTCTTGAAGGATCATTTAAAAAGGAATGCGTATGAAGTTTGCTCCTTCATATAAGTAATTATTCTATATAGGACCATTATGTTTGGATCATTAAATACCTATATGAATATGAGATCTGAAGCACGTCAAGTTGAAATTAGGTACAGCTGTTGCTCCTTAGCAGGTTATGAAGTTGCAATGCTTCACATCTCTTCACTACTTCAAGTGCCATTTCTTGCATTCATTTCTCTTGCAGTAAAGCTTCCTTTTTTTTTTTTTTTTTCCCCTGAGAGTATTTTCCCCTCTACAGTTTTTAAAAATAGATAAAACTTGGACATTGGCAGTAGGACCTTTTTTTTTTTTTTTTTTTTTTTTTTTTTAGTATTGGCCATGAAATTTGAATTTACCACTGTATAATTTATCATCACATTTCGACAGATCAAATGTTTCACCTTGCCTTTCATATTTTTAAGAACAACACCCGTGTATATTGAAATGTGTAAACTTAAACTGAAGAAGCACAGTTTGTTTGCACAGATGATATATTAGACACATACGCATCTTATACTTCCTTTTTACCTACAAAGTCAGGACATCTGTAAACCAAATCTGATGAAGCTGAGACAATTGGGAGATTATGTTTCACTTTTTCATGATTTTGTGGGTAGCCTGTCTTTACGGAATATTTTTTTTCTTGCAAAGGGAGACTATGTAATACAGCTGAACAATTTCAATACCAACTATTATCCGGAGTTGAATATTTAAATAAAAACTCCACAAGCATTGCTTAAGAATGAATTTGTACCTACAAAGCATAAAGTATTAAATGATAGTAATAAAAAAATGGATTTCCAAATGAACTCTTTGATCTTCTTGGAAGTATTTTTGTCTTTAAACAAAATTTTAGCCTTTTCTCAATATAAGACAATAAATATTCCCCCAAGGTGCATTTAGAAACAAACAACTAGTCACTGATACTATTTGCTGTGTGATTATCAGGTTGTTAGGCCAGTAATTGGAGGGAGAAATAAATACCCAAGATAGCAGCCACTTTGACCATTGTTATCCTTGGCTAAATGTGTAAGAAAAAAAAATGGCACAAATTGTCCCTGATGTGGTGCTGTGGGCTAATGCTTTAGACTGCAAAGTCATTTGAACTGCAAAGATCGGTAGTTCAAGCTCACCAGCTGCTCCTTGGAAACCCTATACAGGGTCATTATAGGTCGGAATCCACTTGAAGGCACTTAACAACAATTGAACTCAAGTAGAGCTAAAACAAGGATTCACACTTAATTTACTTCAACACCAATTTATTGAGTAACTGCTATATGTGAAGCCCTGTGCTCTGTATTCTGGCAAGGCACTTTCTTCCCTACTCCACATTAAAGCTAGTTCTTGGGGAGGAGGCATAAGCATGCAGTGTAATATTTTTTAATTGGCTGAAACTACAGAAGAAAGTCATGCAGATGGCGCCTACTTGGATGATTCCTTTGTTGACAGAGAATGCAATGTTAATATTTAGAGAGAAAAATAATTTGTTTATGCCTCAACCCTATAAAAGTAAGTTCAATGGGGAATGCCTGTCTATATCCGTACTTCAATGTATCTAAGAAATATGCATTTATGGGAAGACAAAATGAGAATGAAACACTTAAGCTGACTTTCACCTGGCAATAAATGATTTCCTTGATTTTCTTTCAGTAAACAACTATTTCCTTCAAGTTCTATTCAAATTGAGTACTTGATTTAAGCTGTTCAGTTGAACAAATACAAACATTCTGAAGTAGAACTTAGGGCAAATATTTGATTATTTGAGAACACACATTTTCATTAAACACAAGTGGAATACTGTAGGCAGTTTCTCGAATATTATCTCTAAAATGGCTGTCCTGATAATTTTGTTGACACATAAATTACAATGGAATTAAGGTTAGAATTTCTTCAGTTCTTTATGATATGGCTTTTGCATTCTACCTTTAAGGGTTTTAGTCAATATTCTGTAGCCATATCTTATTAATGTGAAGAATAATACTACGTTACTTTATGAACACAGGTGCCTGCATGTAATTATTCCCTTTAGAGAACCATGTAACCTTCATCTCTTTTATTTGACTTCTGGTAACTTTAACCTATTAAACCTTCTCATACATATTTGCAATGTGGCCATAACTGTTTCAAAGGATTTCAAATTCTCTATTATACACAAGAGAGCTTCAAAAAAATTCCATTAACTTTCTATTCCATTTTTCCATGAACTTTTTGAAGCTCCCTCATATTCTTCTGTATATAATGTAGAAACAATTGATGAATTAATGACTGTCCCCACAGTATTTAGAAAGAGCTTGAAATAAAGTCATAAGTACCTGTGAAACTATCACTAAATGGAGAGGTAGATTTTTGCAACTTGTTTTGGCCACATCATTGTATTGAACAAGAGAGAATGATCTTTGGAAGACCTGATTTCGAATCAGTTCTTTATAAGCATAGTTGTCCTCACTGTGTTTCCTCAAGGACTGGTTAAGTGTCAAAAAAAGGACATAGCTCGAATGTAAGCAAACAGAGTTTCATTGACTTCCAAAATTGGATAAAAAATGTGATATAGTAACCATTCCTTTATCTTTCTTGGGCTTCTTCCTATTAGAAATAATGTTCTAAAATATATATTGGCAAGTCAAGAAAGTATGTTGTTGTTGTTGTATCACTCTTGTATGAACTTTTTCAACTGATGATTTCTCAAAGTAAGCAGAAATTAGTCAGTAAGATGATAGCATCTTTCAGACATAAACAACATTGGGTAAATGCAGTAGATTTGTTTCATTGATGAGTGATAATCTTTTGTGACTCTCCTGGTTAAGCAAAACACTTCAAAATATCCAGATCAATGTTGGCGAATGAATCACATATTTTAGTTTCCCAAAATAGCATTCTTAGTCCTTTCTTAAAGATTATTTTCATTCATGAATACTGTTTCCTGTCATCAGCCCTGTTGCTTTGATTTTTAGGCTTATATTTTTCATATAAGTCAATCGAACAAAACGAAACATTGGAAAAATAGTCTAAGAACTAGTTAAGACTCAGCAAACGGGCACCTGCAGTACTGGTTATTGTATTAATTTCTGTTAATCAGGATCTCTGATTTCACTGAATGAATATAGAAACTGAACTATGTAACAAGGAACTATTTTATTATTTGAATCCTCTCTTAGCCAGTTCCTATGGAACTGTGGAATAGGATCAATTTTGATCTGCTACTGGTATAAAAGAAATATGCTACCAAGCTTCTCCACCATCTTCACCATTGTACATCTTTATGAAGGGAACTGCTAGAAAATGTATTTTTTTAAAAATTTATTTGACTAAGTTCATTGTATATTCTTTCTATTTTCAGAAATAATTCATAATAAAAATCACGGCAACATAATTTGCTTTTCATTTGTTAAAACTGCATTTGGTCACTGATGCAATATGTTTCTATCACTTTCCCCAAGACTCTTTAAACAGCAAGTTTAATATACACTTGACCGTAAGCCTAGCTTTAATTGCTTACACATTGTATAAGAAATGTCATTACTGTAGTGTGTTGAAATCATATTAAAAGCTACTCTATTAAAAAAAAAAAACCTACCTTTTAAAATATTGTGTCATTTCTATTTCTTCAATTTTTATGTGTATATTCCCTTCACTTTTCAAAGTATAAGACAATACATTATGTAAAAATTTAAGAAACATAATCCCAGTCTTTTATTTACATATATATTCTTTATATTCAATATAATAACATTGTTAAGCACTGTGGAGTCAGTTCAGAATCAAAGTGACCTTGTATAGGGTATCCGAGGAGCAGCTGGTGAGTTTGAACTTCCAACCCTGCGGTTCAAACCAACCTTGAAGTCCAGTGCTTATCTTATGGTGCCAAAAAGTTGTTGTTGTTGTTAGGTGCCATTGAGTCGGAACCAACCCATAGCGACCTTATGCACAACATTATGAAACACTGTCCAATCCTGGGCCAGCCTCACTACCGTTGCCACGCTTGAGTCCATCAATGCTGTAACTTGGCCAATCCATCTCATTGGGGGTCTTCCTCTTTTTCTGAGACCCTCCAATTTACCAAACATGATATCCTTCTCCAGTGACTGGTTCCTCCTAATAATATGTCCGAAGTATGAGAGACGAAATTTGGCCATCTTGGCCTCCCAGGAGCACTCTGGCTGCACTTCTTCCAAAACAGATCTATTGGTTCTTTTGGCAGCCCATTGTACTTTCAATATTCTCCTCCAACACCATAAGTCAGAATCATCAATTTTTCTATGGTCTTCTTTATTCACTGTTCAGCTTTTGCATGCATATGAGGTTATTGAAAATACCATGGCTTGGGTCAGGCGCACCTTAGTCCTCAAGCTGACATCTTTGCTCTTCAATACTTTAAAAAGTTTTTGTGCAGCAGATTTACCCAACACAATACGTCGTTTGATTTCTTGACTGCTGCTTCCATGAGTGTTGGTAGTTGATCCAAGAAGAATGAAGTCCTTGATAATTTTAATCTTTTCTCCATTGATAAGAATGTTGTTTACTGGTCCAGTGGTGAGGATTTATGTTTTCTTGACATTGAGATGTAATCCATACCGAAGTCTGTGCTCTTTGATCTTCATCAGTTAATGTTTTTAGTCCTCTTCACTTTCAGCAAGCAAGGTTGTATCATCTGCATTTCACAGGTTAATGAGTCTTCCTCCAATCCTGATGCCACGTTTTTCTTCATAGAACCCAGCTTCTCAGATTATTTGCTCAGCATACAGGGTGAATAAAGGAGCTGTGGTAGCATAGTGATTAAGAATTGGGCCGCAAACCACAAGGTCAGCAGTTTGAAACTACCAGCTGTTCCCTGGGAGAAAGATGAGGCTTTCTGCTCCAGTGAAGAT